GCAGAGCTAATTTTTAACACTGCACTGAAGCTCTTAATGCAACTATCCCACCTGCAACTAATCCCACCTAAGCTGCCAACAATATGTGAGGGGCACGGCGTCAGACCCCAGCCCTTCTCACCAAACTCGTGACCAAAGGACTAGCCAATCTAAAACCGCGCTGTCACGTGCGTAACAAGGCCACACCCAGCTGCACCCTGCACACCGATGTTCCAGTTAATTGGACAACGATCGACGTACTGGCAGCCTGGACGCAATTGTTACTGGTTCAGGTTAATTACGCAATTAACCCTTCACACTGCCACCACCTCCTTTTTATACAGAGAAAGAGGAAACTCAGCAATACACTAGGATGATTGGTTAACTGTCAGTATCCCGCTATCTCTACAGACCGGTTATACAGAGGATTAAATACTCATAGTAGCGTTCTTCAGCGGCAGGGACTCGTAAGTTACATTCAGGAGCTATAGGAACAGTTCAACACTTTTAGAAAGTAAGATTTATTACTAAAAGGTCAAAAGGGTGCAGTAGAAATATTTACAGAAAGAAGATGTAACCAATATATATATATATAAATATACAGAGCACAGCAAACAGATAACAGAAAGAAGTTTAGGTAAATAAGTACTTGCCAACTAAATGCCTGGGGTTAAGCAGTTTCAAGTCTGATGAGCTAAAAAAAAGGGATTTCTGGTCTCGCACTGGGTTTTTTTTGTTGCTGCGAGATTCTCCTTTACTTTCTGTCCGATAGATGTTATATCGAGGATGGTCCTCACTTCTCTGACTGAACACAAAAGATAACACTTCTTTTTCTACAAAAATCAAATGGGTGTCTCTCCCTACCATGGACAAGCCAATACCTTAGTTGGCAAGAGGATTGTTTAAAGGCAGGGACTAGCAAGGTATGCTGAATGCATTCCTGAGGGAGGGGGGAAATCAGAGGAGGGAGATTGATTTGGGAGTTTAAGATAAATACCAAAATGTAGTTGTTTGGAGCAGAATGGAGAACCGCACCTCTCCCTGTGGGCATGATTGTGACATTTGGGGCTTAGTAATTGACTGTGGTCACTTCAACGTCACAAATTGTTCTGTGTAATAGTAGATATCGCTCCATAGGGTCTGTAATTTCAAGAGAGCATACAAAGGCGGTGTTTTTGTGAAATGCCACAAGGATGCCTCTCCGTTTCTCCTCAAAGGTTGCCTGGAACATTTGAGGGTAATTCTTGTGAAAATACTTAGGGCAGGAAGATGTGGAAAATCTGGTTTCTTGTAGTCCTATAACATGAGCTCGAAGTGAAGCATAGTTGGTAAAGGCGCACTTACTTTTCCGAGGGTTATTAAATCCTTGCACGTTATGGGATATATTGAATTTGGAAGTAGCCATCATGGTGGATAGAAGATGGAGAAGCTAAAAGTCATGAAGATGTACCGTTTTGTTTCAAACGTAATATCTGCAAGCGTTTCAATGTCTTGGGGAAAAGGAAAAAGTATAGTTGAGAAAGAAAGCACAATGAAATCAGATGTAATAGGCTCAACCACGGGGGTGTCAAAGGATGGATTGTCTAAGCAATCAAGGGCAGTGGTTTCACAGACTGCCATAGTTGGGGGTCGCCGGTAACCCTCCAGGCACACATTATATTATTTAGTGAGAGAACATGTAGAAAAGAACTATCATTCAAGTGCCTGACCATAGGAAAGAAGGGAGAGAGAGAAGAGAAGTAAAAAAAAGGGTGGAGGAGGAAAAGGAGGGAGGGGGGGAAAGAGGAAATGGGGGAAGGATGCGTGTAGGTGAGAGTGCCATCTTGTGTATATATAGCCAGTAGTGTAATGAAATAGTCTTGGTAAAGAGAAGTGTGGGGGGTCACTGACCATACAGTCGGGACCAGGTGAAGCCACAAGCCACTGGATTAGAGGACCGCAGTCCAGAGCGGGTTAATGAGTGGAGTTTCTAGTGGGGGGCGCATTATGATCCCACTGCCTACTGCCCTCCCTCTGTGGGAGTTGCAGAACTATTAAGCTTCACCTGGTTCCCGAACACAGCAGCGAGCCCCCAATCCCGGTAGGAAAGGGAAGGAAATGTGAGTTCTTGTGTTTTAAGCATTGCCCCCTCGCACTTACCCTCCCCTATATAGTAACATTTGGGTTGCCCAAGCACAGTGTAGTTATGGAATGGAAAACAAGGGTATATGTTTACACTTTATAATGCATACACTTGCATGAGGAGCTTGGTTTGTTTACAGTATGTATGCTTTAAATTTAGGTGAATACTTTCCATATATTGTGTGTTCTGTTTTTGCATTGGTTGCAGATGAATCATTTATACCTCCACCAGAATCCCAGCCTATTAGCCCAGCCATGTATCCAGACACATCATGGGAGGATCATCTCCTAGAGCAACAGGATCACTTAGAGAGGGAAATGGAGGAAGCCAAGAAAATGATATCTGGCCTGCAGGTATGCATCTGTTGCCTGCAGAGGGCTCTTATATAACAGCTTGTTTACTTGTTTGTACATCTATATATTGAACAAATCTGTAAGTAAACTAGTTTTACAGTAACTATAGAATAAAACTGTAGGACAACCATAACAGAACAATTTCACATTGGAAATGAACAGTCCAGTCAGCATAGCTTAGGAAGACCATTGTTCATATCTCTAAATGTGCTTGGATTGTAAAGGAGGCACAGAAGGGGCCTGCTGCTACAATTATTCACTCTGAGAAGCACATAAAGGAGGGTTTTCTGGCTAATAAAGATAATAGTAGACACCTTGTGCTACATGCTCTCAGGCATGTATTTTAAATATTTAAAACAGCCTTTAGCAGACACATCAAACTGAGAAGAAACAGTGGGCTGAACTAAGTATAATAAATGTGCAAGAGACTGCATTATGTATATTAAAGGTCACACTAATAACTGTATCCTTGCATATTTCATCCTTGATAATAGGTCAGTGAAACAATTTATGAAGCACTTGGCTACAAAATGATGTAAGTGTACCCCTTATTCAATGGAGAATAGCTGGGGCCACATTCAGTGTAAGTACTTAAAACAGCTGAGGGTCTCAAAGGAGTAATAAGAGGCTACGTAGCTTGATTTAACATGACTGGTCTTTAGGCTCACTTCAAAGCATGTCTGACCATCCCCAGATTTAGAAAACATTTAGAAAGCAGTTAGGCCTAGTTTACAATAGCATTGCTCTCTGAAGAGTGATCTGTGTTCAGATCACTACACAGAGGGCATTTGACAGGCCTTCGCCTCCTCACTGCCTGTTTTAATCCCTTAAACCTTGCACTAGTGTGCTGCAACCACTTGCATTGTACGCGGTTTAGGAGCAATTGCAGGGTGCCCCAATTCAGTTGAAGAAGTCGCATTCAGAATGAGCACTGCCCACTGAATGTGTTCAGGGGGAAATTATTTTGCAGGCCACAGCTTATGTATTGCCCCTTGTGTTGCAAAGGCAGCAGAAGGGGCAATACAAGCAGCTGGGGAACAGTAAAAATATGTTTCACCTCACGTTCCTACCACCTCTCAAACAGAAGTGTAAACAAGGCCTTACACTTTTCAAGTGGTCTTAGTAGCTGCTAACCTTTGACATATGCCATTAACTCAGTGAAAGATAATTTCTTCCATTGTTTGTGCATGTTTCAGTTAATTTTACTATTTGTTAAAGCAGATTTCAAAGTTTTAGCACCCGGCTAACCAATTGTTTCCAGTAGGCTTATGTCTAGGGTATTGCAACAGACATGTCTCCCCTGGGTCTTTTCAGCAGCCACAATTGAAGTGTAAAATTAATGTCAATCATCAAATTTCCATATAATCAAGTTCTATTGAATTTCCATAAAAATAATCCTTTGATAAGAGTCGAAATTTTTTTTGGTCTCATTTGCACAATTTAAATGTTGTATGCAACCGATTATATTACAATTACATTCTACTGCTCGATATGACAGCAATATGCAATATCATCCTACGATAACATAGATGTTGCAGTGCCCACTGGCTATCTTCATCACATATGTATATAAGAGTGAGATTACAAAAAACAACATATAGTATACAGTGTCATGGATCTGCCTCCAGTACGGAAATTCCAACACATTTCGACTACAAACAAGTCTTCATCAGGGGAAATTAAGGAGCCACCTTCATATAGTTAACACATGGAGATCATATTCCCTGTACGAGTGAGAATAACGAAGATTGTGTTGTGGATGCGTGCATCCAGTTGCGCCTGGCCTGCGTTAGGGCTCTTGGGGGCCCCGAGAGTTCCGGCCAGGGACATGGATGCCTCTGGGCAGCTCGCTCATACAGGGAATATGACCTCACTCTTGTATACATATGTGATGGAGATAGCCATTGGGCATTGTAACATATATGTTATCTTTGGATGATATACTGTACATATTGCTGTCATATTGAGCAGTAGAATGTAATTGTAATATAATGGGTTGCATACAACATTTAAATTGTGCAAATGAGACCAATAATGTTTTGGCTCTTAAAACGGAGTTCCAGTCAGTTTTGTGTTTATTAAAAGTCAGTAGCTACAGAAATTGTAGCTGCTGACTTTTTAGTAAACACACACTCACCTGTTCCAGGGTCCAGCGATGTGCTCACCCACGCCATCCCTTCTCTGCCTCTTCTCTCCTCGGCACTAGCATCACAACTGTGGGCACCAGGGTGTGACAGCTTGTGGCTTCAGAGCCGGGTGCCCACTGCCCATGTGCGAGTTGCGCTGCGCATTCCGATTAATCTGGCAGTCTTCTGGGACCTGTGAAGGCTCCCAGGAGACTGCAGGAGGAAGGAGGGGGCCAAACTTTTGGCTCACTTCGCCATGCCGAACTGAGCCGAAAGTGGGAGCAGGTGCCTGTCAAAACTAGGTACCCGCTCCCTCCCAAAAGGTGCCAAATATGGCAGTGGATGGGGGAGGAAACAAGCAAGCAGAGCTTCCACTTTTGAGTGGAACTCCGCTTTAACAAAGGATTTTTTATATGGAAATTCAATAAAACTTGATTATAAGGAAATTTAATGATTTGGTTGACATTAATTTTATACTTCAATTGTGGCTGTTGAATCGTCCCAGGGCAGACATGTCTGTTGGTCTGTAGCAATAATTAAGGGATGTAGCAGCAGTATTCACTATTCCACCACCCCTTAGTTTCTATTTAGTTTCTATTTATTATGTCTAGGGTATAGTTTAGTTCACACTTGGTGCATTCAGTACACATTCTATATTTAGTAATGACACTACAGGTGATGATAATTTACTACAGTACTTTACATTCTACAGTTCTACATAGAAGCAAATTTTGGATAAGAACCGGAAAACGTTATTGAACTGTGATAAATAATACTCAAGAACAAACATCTTTCTTTTTATTTGACATTACATTGGTGACATTGCTATTTAAGCCCACATTAGCAAGCACTATGGATCTCATTCTGCTCAACTGAAAACAAAAGAAGTTAAAGCATGTAAGGCTTTTTTTAGTCTTGCACAGAGTAGAGAAGGGTTAGACCCTTTGTCAAGTTCTTATTGCTGTCTGCATCCTCGCTGGGGAGATTTATTCCTCTATTAGTCCTGGTGACCATTATCACTGAGACAAAATGGGGAAAATATAACATTTTTGAGACATTTCTTGGGATTTCTTGTTGCATCTACAAAACAGCTTTTGGCTTTACATACACTTTAAAATGTGCATAGGAAAATTGTATAATTTGTTGTAATTTAGAGAGACATTGTTGCCCAGTCCTAATAAGGGAGTCTTTATTTGTTTTCATATAGCTGCCTGTAACAATATCCCAGCTTTATTATTTCCCTTGGTTACAGTATTGTGTTACCTATTCAGGCATTGCTGTTAAATGGATCGCTTCCCGAAGACGAACAAGAGAGCTTATTCTCTTTGCGTGAAGACGGGGCGTGCCCAGAAGAACAGCTGGTGAGTTCATACTGTACCTGTATTTACCATCCAGTAAGGCTTCCAGCATCTTCCATCATTGATGAAGTTCGATTCTTCTGCTTTCAGGTTATCATCAAAAGTCGCCTTGACCAGAGTATGAGTGAGAACCAGTGTCTGAAGGTGAGTCCTTACTACAGCATCTACAAGTTAGAGAAGAGGAATTTTTGTAGTAACAGAGTATGATAATGTGTTGTAGTTACTGACATCCAATCATTCATTATGTGATATGAGCTAAATGAAAACATCAGATCTCCTTTACAACCTACTTGGTCAGGTTTAATAAGTAGTTAGCACTTCTGCCTAGCAGCTCTAGGGTCATCATTTCAAATCCCAACCGCTACACTACCTGCCTGGAGTTTGCATGTTCTCCCTGTAGTTGCTTAGGTTTCCTTCAGCTACTTTGGTTTCCTCCCACACTCTAAAGACATGCTGGTAGGTTAACTGGATCCTGCCTAAACTGGCCCTAGTATGAATGTGAGTTAGGGATCTTAGATTTGTGGGACCCTTGAGGGTTGGGGACTGATGTGAATGTACAATATATATGTAAAGCGCTGCGTAAATTGACGGCACTATATAAGTACCTGTAATAAATAAATAAGTGCAACATTAAAACTATCCAGAATCCATGTAATTAAAACTCTTAGCAACCACTATTTTTCTAAAGTCTCTTATTTCAAGTTATGCATTTAATATGGTACTGTTGACCAATTTGTAGCCTGAACTTTGCAATATCATTAATCGGCCATGACTTTTTAAAGGCTAACTTTAGTTTTATTGAGAAAAACATATTTGCCTGTAGATGATTTACATACATTGCAAGAGTTTTAGCAAACTTAGTTGCAGATTCCTACCCTTCACTGTTCTTAGTCTCAGTACTGTCATGAGGAAAGCTACAGTGGCTGCATCCCTTTAGATGTAAGCATGTCTTAGGGATTCATATTGCAACGGATGGCTAAAAACAGGCTTGTTAGTTAATGCAGATCTCTGGAAAGACCAGAGAGCCAATCACACAACTAGAAAAGTTATGTTTCTGGGGGCATTCTGTAGTGTATGGAATGCTTCCAAGATGCCATATTGGAAGGAAGTGACATTTTACAGAACATTTCAGCAATTGTAGATTGAAATGAAAAGGTTATATTTAATTATATTACATTACATTGGCTTATGAAGCAGTTTAAATTACATACAAAAGTGGGAGCTATCTTGAAAGTCTTTTCGATGGTAGCCACTGCCAAGTATACTAAGTTGCTGCCAAGCATTCTAAATGCGTAGACACAAAATGTGTATAAACCTTTTTTCAGAAAGATTACAGTTTTACTATATATTATCTTCAGAACAAAATCATGTTAACTTGTACACTTACATTATTACCCTTCCTTAGTGTTAAGAGACCTAAAGTGAATATGTACTTTGACCGTGCAGAGACCCTACAGCTACCTTGCTTACCTTCCATTTGCTCCCCCACTGTTCTGTTCACCCAGGGGTCTGAGGTGACCTATCCAGTGCATCCTAATATGGCAGAGCACTTCTCTTTTCACCTGCGTGACCACTCACACAACCAACACTGTCAGGGAAAGATTTAGACCTTGGGCGGCCCGGGGCACTTCAGCTTAGGGCAGCAATGGGCAAACTACGGCCGCGGGCCGTATACGGCCCGGCGGACCTTTTAATCCCGGCCCGCGGAGCTAGGCTCCCTTCACAGTCCGCCCAAAGACCGGTGTAGCATGAAATCTGTCTCCTATGAGGATCTGTCCCCCCTCGACGTATCTGCGCATGTGCCGGAGATCGCCGATCGGCTGCTAATGCCTGAAACTGGCACATGCGCAGATAAGTACGTCGAGGGGGACAGATCCTCATAGGAGACAGATTTTTCATGCTACACCGGAACGGCGCGGGAACCCGAGAGGAACGCGCGGAGCTCAAAGGTAAGTGAATTGACACAGGGGGGACTTGGGAATTTTAATATGGGGGATGAATTACTATGGGGGATGAATTTACTATGGGGATGAATTACTATATGGGGGATGAATTACTATAGGGGGGATTAAATTACTATAGGGGGATGAATTACTATGGGGGATGAATTACTATATGGGGGATTAATTACTATATGGGGATGAAATTACTATGAGGGATGAATTACTATATGGGGGATGAATTACTTATTGGTGGATGAATTACTATGGGGATGAATTACTATATGGTGGAGATGAATTACTATGGGGGATGAATTACTATGGGGGATGAATTACTCTATGGGGGATGAATTACTAAGGGGGGTGAATTACTATGGGGATGAATTACTATGGGGGATGAATTACTATATTGGGGGATGAATTACTATGGGGGATGAATTACTATATGGGGGATGAATTACTTATATGGGGATGAATTACTATATGGGGGATTGAATTACTATATGGTGGATGAATTACTATGGGGGATGAATTACTATATGGTGGATGAATTACTATTTTGGGGGATGAAATTACTATATGGTGGATGAATTTACTATGGGGGGATGAATTACTTTATGGGGGATGAATTACTATGGGGGATGAATTTACTATATGGGGATGAATTTACTATGGGGGATGAATTTACTATATGGTGGATGAATTACTATGGGGGATGAATTACTATATGGTGGATGAATTTATGGGGCTGAATTTTACTTTATGGTGGGATGAATTACTATATGGTGGATGAATTACTATGGGGATGAAATTAATATGGGGGATGAATTACTATGGGGGATGAATTACTATGGGGGATCCGGATTTTACTTTATGGGATTTATGCATTACTATATGGTTGGATGAATTTTACTATGGGGGATGAATTTACTATGGGGGATGAATTACTATATGGTGGATGAATTTACTATGGGGGATATATGAAATTACTATGGGGGATGAATTACTATTATGGGGGATGAATTACTATGGGGGATGAATTACTATATGGGGGATGAATTACTATGGGGGATGAATTACTATATGGGGGTGAATTACTATATGGTGGATGAATTACTATGGGGGATGAATTACTATATGGTGGAATGATATTACTATGGGGATGAATTACTTATGGGGATGAATTACTATATATGGGATGATGAATTACTCTGTTATGGGGGATGAATTTACTATATGGGGGATTAATTACTATGGGGGATGAATTACTATGGGGGATGAATTACTATATGGGGGATTAATTACTATGCTTACTATGGGGGAATATTACTATACTTACTACAGTTGTGGCCAAAATTATTCAACCCCAATGCTGTAAATTTTTAGGGACTATAGTGTACATTTGGAATTGTATTCAGAATCAAATCCTACAAGGACGTTGTAACTACCCAAATGCAACTAAATGACATCAATTGTTTATGTAATACAGTTTTTAATGGTTCTTATGTGGTTTCTTCATTGCCACAATTATTCAACCCCTTAAAGACTTACCACTCTGAAGAACAGAGGTTCATACAGGTGCTTTCCATCAGGTATTGAAAACACCTGTGGATGTCACGAGCAAGCAATCAAGCATTAAATAAGCACCAATTAGGCAGCTTTAAAATGACTGTGATACTCAGCTCCTTCTAGACATTTACTATTGTGGTTACAAACATGGTGAAGGCAAGAGAATGGTCCAGGAAGACAAGAGAAGAGGTGATTTCTCTTCACAGGAAGGGCAATGGCTATAAGAAGATTGCAAAGATGTTAAACATACCAAGAGACACCTTAGGAAGCATCATTCGCAAATTCAAGGCAAAGGGCACTGTTGAAACGCTACCTGGTCGTGGCAGAAAGAAGATGCTGACTTCGACTGCTGTGCGCTACCTGAAGCGTAGAGTGGAGAGAAGTCCCCGTGTGACTGCTGAGGAACTGAGAAAAGATTTGTCAGATGTGGGTACAGAAGTTTCAGCCCAGACAATAAGACGCACCACTGCGTAATGAAGGCCTCCCGTGCCCAGAACTCCCAGGCGTACCCCCCTTGCTGTCTCCAAAGAATAAGAAGAGTCGACTGCAGTATGCCAAAAGCCATGTGGACAAATCCACAAAAGTTGTGGGATAGTGTTTCTGTGGACTGATGAAACAAAATTAGAACTTTTGTTTCTTGGGCCCATGGATCAACGCTATGTTTGGAGGAGGAAAAGAACAAGGCCTATGATGGAAAAGAACACCTTGCCTACTGTGAAGCATGGTGGAGGGTCAATCATGCTTTGGGGCTGTTTTTGCTTCTGCAGGTTACAGGGGAAGCTTCAGCGTGTGCAAGGTACATGAATTCTCTTCAGTATTTTTTTTTTTTTTTTTTTTATTTTTTTTTTACCAGGAGATATTTTTTGGAAACGTGATGCAGTCCGTCACACACCTGAGGCTTGGGAGAACGTTGGACCTTTCAAACAGGACAATGATCCCCAAGCATACCTCCAAAGTCCACTAGAGCATGTTTTTGCAGAGGAAAGTTTTTTTTGTTGGAAACATTTTGGCACGTGGCCCATCGCAGTCACCAGACTTAAATTTCCGATTGAGAACCTCTGGTGGGACTTAAAGAAAGCAGTTGCAGTGCGCAAGCTAAGAATGTGACTTTGAACTGGAGGCTTTTTTTGCCCATGAAGAATGGGCGAAGATTTTTTTAGATCGCTGCAAGACACTTGTGTCAAGCTATGCTTCACGTTTAAATATGTTATACTGTAAAAGGATGCTGTACTAAGTACTAAGATTGAATGTCACTTGGGGGTTGAATAAAACTGATAATGCATTTGTGAGCACAAAAAGACATTTTGTGGTTATTTCATTATAACTGTTATGTTATATTTGTTTGACCTACAAGTGCCTCTTTTAATGTAAATGTAAGCAAGATGACTGAATGATCAAAAAGCAATGTCAAACTGGCCAAAAACACTCAATTTCAGTGGGGGGTTGAATAATTTGGCCACAACTGTATGGATGACACATACACATCATTCATCTACTGTTGGTCCGGGCCCCCGGGTCCAATATATGAACCCATTGCGGCCCTCAAGTCAAAAATTTTTGCCCACCCCTTGGCTTAGGGGGTGCACCTCATACACAGTGTTGCTTATTTTACATTCTCACTGACAGTCACAATAT